GATATATACAACGTGACGCAGCATATGCAGAATGGGATGTAATGGAGATGAAGTGGTTGTCGGCTTTTGAAGACAGACGTAACAGACCTGTGCAAATAAACACGAGCACTAGGTCTGCTTGCGCCGCCCGGCGACGTTGAAGTGCAAGAACAGTGTGTACAAGTGAAAGAAATAGAAATGCAGCATAGAATACACTAGGGCGAAGCCACCGGCGTGGCGGAGTATCAGAGTACCTGAAGCCGCCGCTTGCAGCTGACGATCGACCAGGACTTGACCAGAGGTAGGTTGGATATCCGCCGTAGGATCCTCACGAATTGTTGCTGTCGGCTCTATGATGGGGACCTGAGGATCGGGAACGTCCATCTCAACAGCGGCGGGGGGAGCAGATAGTCAACTCGAGCCCTCCGGGACATCGACCCACGTCGCTTCTGGGGGAGTCGAGGGAGGTGGGACATTCTCCTCATCGCTGTCTTCGTCCGTAGCGCTCTCACTCTTATCTTCGTCTTTGGGGACCTCGGCGACAGAGGGGGCGGGTTCAGAACCAGATTCGTCTTCTCTCTTGTCCGACTCGGACTTGGTCCTGGCCTCTTGGTCCTGGAGCTGCTGACGGAGCTTGGTCAACTCAAGGTCCTTCTTCTCAAGTTCGGCCTTCTCCTTCTCCTTTTCGAGTAGCTCTTTCCTCCTTTTCTCGCGCTGTACACGAAAACGATCAGCAACGCGATCTTGGCAGTGCAAATGAAATGATGGCAAGCTCGGCAGACATAGATTTGCGCCGAGCACTCACTTCCAACTTTTCCTTCAGTTCGCGAGCTTCCTTTTCCTTCTGGAGACGTTCCCTCATTTCCCTCTCACTGACGACCCAGGGGGCTACTCCTTCCGCTGCAGCTTCGGGTTGCGACTTGTTTCGTAGCAGGTCTACGAATGCCGGGAAACGTCGTGTCAGCAAATATTCAACTCCCAACAACGCACCAGCAAACTCCAAAGGGAGAGATAGAAAAAGGAAGATTAACCGGCCCAAAACGATACTGAAAAGAAACTCACATCCTTGCAATGCCGCAACGCTGAACTCGTCGTCAGGGATCGAGTCTGCGAACTTCTTCGCCAGCTGGGCAAGCTTGATACCATCCAAAGGCATGGCAGAGTGTTGACACGCAGCAATGTGCTCCTCGATGGGAGGCGGGAGGTATGCCTGGTTCTTCGAGCCAAAGCCATCTGGACCGGCCAGGGACTCGGGTGGGGATTGCGAGTTCCTGGTCGAGGACGCCAAAGACGCAGACGAGGAGGAGAACGAAGGCGAAATGGACCACAATGTCGACGAATGGGATGACGGTGACTGAGGTGCCGGCGTCGAAGGAAGTTCGACGCCTTCAAGATCACCTTCTATAGGCTCATCGTCCTTGTCCATGGAAGGGAAGAAGTTACGGAAGAGAGCCTCCGCTTGCCATTTGGATGCGTTCTTGAACTCAATCCAGACGTCCATACGACCAGGACGCGAAAGTGCAGGATCCAAACGCTCAAGGTGATTCGTCGTGCTACCATTATTGTCAACTTGGTGACGGTAAGGGTGGATGGCAGAGACTCACGCAAAGAGAATGCGGCCTTCTGCAGCCGCAACGCCATCCAAGGCGTTAAGAAGACCACTCAGACTCAACGTGTTGACATCTGAGATATGGTCCTTGTGGCGTCTATGGCGGCTGGATGAGGAAGGCTGCTCTGGAACAGTCGCTTCCTCTCCGTTATTACTTGAATCTGGTGTTCCATTGGAACTCTTGTCGCGGCTAACGCTGCGAGTGAACGCGGCGTCCAAGTCTTCCAGAAGAACAATGCAACGGGCGGGGACGCGACCCATGAGGGTGGTCAAAGTGCTATCGCTAATCCACGACGAGGACAAGGAGAGAGTATAGATGTCGAGCATCAACTCTCCCGCTATTGCATGGATGAGGGAACTCTTCCCTGACCCTGGGACACCGTGGAGGAGGTACCCGCGGCGGAATGGAATGCCACGATCGGCGTACCACTGGTAGACAGGTGTCATTAAGTAAGCCACGCAGAAGACGAGCAAGTGAGATGACATGCCTTCTCGGACTTGAGGAAGTCACGAGCATCGTTCAGAAGCATCTCCTTCACACCTGGGTTCAACACGATCGATGACATGGGACGCTTGTGACGCGAATCCGTCCAGCGCCAACTGCCATGAGAATCCGCAAAGTAGATCTGAATGCGGTGGATGGCCTCTGCCTCGTACTCCTTCTTTGCCTGGAGGACGAGCTGTTTGAGGATGGCGTTGCTACGAGCCACCACACTGGGAACCATGTTAGTCACCAAGGATAGTGATAAAAATAGGACGAGAACCTTATTGACAGGACTTCGCAGCCGCTGCCGTCCGTCTTCTTGCTACGGCGTACCCTGAGCCAGTGACCCCTGTAGTAGATCGTGTGCGTGGTGTCTGGGGTGGGCTGGAAGACGACGCGGGTCTTGACTTTGCCAGGTGGTGAATCCTCGTCACCGTCCTCTTCTTCGTCACCAAACGAGTTGTCAGCGTTCTGCGTGCCTGAGAAGCCAGGGGTGGTCGTGCGTGTAGTGGTCTCGAACTCCCTAGAGCGTTGCCACTCTGGGCGACGAGAAAGCCATAACATGAGCCAGTCGTACGGGTAGTCTTCCTCTGAAAAGTGCGCAGTGAGGAAGAAGGCTACACAGGAAGTGTCAGCGTCAACTGAGTCACTCGTGCACAGGAAGGCGCTTACAGTTGACGAAGTGGGACCTGCAGGGGGATGGGGGGTCAGTCCAAGCGCGAAACGGGTAGAAGCTGGGTGGAGACATACCAAGCAGAGCTAGAAACCCTGCGAGCAGTTTCTACGGTGCCCCCCAAAACGACGAGCTTCATACCGTCAATGACCGAGGAGCCGCCTGCGCCGCCGACGAGGGGCTGCACGAGCGACTTGAGAGCGTCCATGACAGTGAGGATGTAAGAGCGACAGTGTACAATCCAACGTTGCGAGACTGAGAGGAGGTTGTGGGACTGGAGGACGTGGTGGGAGTGAGAGTACAAAGTATGAATCGGGTACTAAAGCTGTTACACAAGCTGTGTATTAGGAATAATAGAAGCGTTCTAGACGTCCAGTAATGACTCGTGTACCACGAACGGGACCGCACTGCAGTCAAGTCAGAGGAGGTAGAAAGTCAAGTCAAGACGCGTCAGCAAACGAAACGTGGGTTCATAAACACCGACACCGCTGCAACCACGCCACCGTCGCAAGCGAATTACTGCTAGTATACATAGCTACTTATTCACTACATTTGACACGGTCGGACCTATGTCACCTGGTAATACAGTCCCTCCACCGCAACGTTCGCTTGCCATATTCCCAGCCGACGGACGAACCGAAGCATCAAGGGCGCGGGCAAAATCAGCACGTACGACACCGGAACCACGACCACCAACACCATCGAGATGCAGAGCGTGATACCGGGTTTTATTACGAGAAAGTAAAAGAGCGCTTGGTATGTGGTCGCATCCGTGAACTAGAAGAGGGGTCAAGTGAGCACCAATAGCAAATCGAAGGCGTTCGAACTCCACCATAGCGTAAGCGTTCTTGTAAAACGACGTTTCATATTGCACGCCTGTTGCAGCAATCTCGGCAGCCGAGGGTTCGCGATCGGGTGAGCGTGTGCGCTGGAATATGGGCTTGTGGGGATACGGCGGAGGATAAGCTAGGGGCCCATGAAACTTTGTTTGTAATGCAAGCTGAGAGTAAAAGGAGATAAGAACGCACAAGTCTGGTAAATAAGGGTACAAAATACTCACCTCGCCTCTGGCGAACGCCCTTGCACCCAAAAGATCAAGGAAGCACAGCAAGGCGCCAAGTGGCAACGTGATAAGGAGTGTGGTACCAGTCTAGACCAGACCACGCCGCATCAGCCACCAGCACATGATGTTTAATCTGGGATGCCGGCTACCGATGAGAGGAGAAGGGAGAGTGGCTCACCAAGGTGAAAACGAATAAATAAGTCCACGCAATCAGCGCAAAGGGAAAGTTGACCACCATCAAGTGGAAGAGAGCGGCGTGGTAGGCTTTGCGGCCCATTGGCCGGAAATATCGAACCAACGCACGTTTGTGGAGTCCTGGTATACAATGAGGCCCATTCCGAGCCTGCCCGTCTGCACCAAGTTGAGCGAGATGCTCATCACTCAGCGCTTCGAAGATATCCACAGTCAGGGTCATCGTCGATATCTTGGCAGAAGGAAAGGATGGTGTGGGTGAATGAGCTGGAAGAAGGGACTGTGCTGGCATGCGAGTCTGCGCGATGTCGCCTCGAGGATGAATGGAGCAAAGGCGTGGTTTCGCTTGGGCCACTGGAAATGGAATAGGAAAGGGGATGGAGAGTTGGAGAGACGGCCTGTTCTGCCAAAGCATCCGAGTCGAACGACGATAAAGGGCTCCGTGTTGAAATCTGGGCTGCTCTACGCTGCGCATGTCTGCGCGAGGAACGAAGGCGGACGTTCTGGCGATGGATAGGGTGGAGGGGGGTCACTGATAGGAATGTCGAGTAGACCGAGAGCGTTGTGGGTGATCCCAATCTCTGAGGGTGACATTTTGTTTTGCCTTGTCCGAGCGAGAAACGAAGTGGTTCAGGGCCACGTGCCAAACACTGCCCGTGTTTGTGTAAGCCTGCCATCAGTACAGCCCTGTCCCCATTAATTGCTTGCAAAGTTCAGACGATGCTGAAATATTCACAGCCAAGTCCAGGCTGCAGCTACCCTGCATTTCGTCAAGCTTTGTCTGCTATTGTGTGGGGCAGGCGTAAAGTCTCAAGACGTGCAATGGAACCAAGTTGCATTGATGGTCCTCGGAAAATGGAGGTACGGTTCCGCCAGTGGATTCCCCGGACCGTCCTTGCGCGACCACACGACACAACAAAAAAAGCGCAACAACGTAACCAGCGACCTCGCTTGTTCGCCACGGTCCAGAACGGCGGCCCGTCGGCAAAGTACGTTAGGCGGCACCATAGCCAAGTGGTTACGGCGACAGATTCGAATACCCTCGAACATCTGTTACTCTTTGAGTGCGTAGGTTCGAATCCTGCTGGTGTCGTAGCTTTTTGACCACCTCATGTGATATTGGAACGGGGATTTTGTATTTTGTGGTGACAGGTGTCAGTCAGAGAGGGTGTATTTACACTCAGGGTTACCAAGGGAGAGTAAAACTCCACCGTGCAATGAACCCGGCAACAGTGACCACGCTGTTCCATCACTCCGCATAGACTAAATTGACGCGGTGTAAGAGGAAGAGAACGTATAGTTACATTAATGTTGATACTTGATGCAAGGGGCTGATGCTGATGTGGAATAAAAAGACAGGGGCGGAGCAGATTTTCGGGGTTTGCGGTATGTCCAAATATGGCAAGGTAACCTAATGCCGAGGGTTTGCCGACTGTGAAATATGGAGCGCAGTGAAGGTTTTTCTGTTTTGCGAGTTTGCACTGGCAAAACATCTCGTTGCTAATTATTGCTAAATCACCCGCTCCTTTCCATCTCTCCCCCTTCTGGTTCTTGTCCAACTTTCTCTTTCCCTTTTTCTTTATTTCCCCCTTCGTCGACATGGGTTGCGTCCAGTCCACCGGTATCGATAGCGAAGCAAAGGCCCGTGAGTACCCGCCCTTCCTGCCATCCTCCCGCTCACCATCCACTAGGCAATGACGAGATTGAAAACCAACTCAAGAAGGATCGAATGCTGGCCAAGAACGAGATCAAAATGTTGTTGCTGGGAGCGGGAGAGTCTGGCAAGGTCCGTCTTCACACGTGCTCGCACCGTCCTTGGCTCATCAGTTCCGACAGTCCACAGTGCTGAAGCAGATGAAGCTCATTCATCACTGGTGGCTACAACGACCAAGAACGCGACTCGTACAAGGAAATCATATACTCAAACACGATCCAGTCGATGCGGTATGCAACTTCGTGCCACCTCTTCTTTTTTTGTAACGCCTCAATGTCTAGTGCCATCTTGGAAGCAATGCCCCAGCTCGATATCACTTTGTCACCCCAAAACGACGCTCGAAGAGCGGTCATCCTCGCTCTACCGATACAAATAGAGGGTGAAGTATTACCCCGAGACGTGGCCGACGCCGTCCGAGGACTATGGCGCGACCCAGGTGTTAGAGAGGCCGTCCGAAGATCTCGGGAGTTCCAGCTGAATGACTCGGCTGTGTATTATTTCAACGCCATCGACCGCATGTCCTCCCCCGGCTACCTGCCAACCGACCAAGATATCTTGCGGAGTCGAGTGAAGACAACCGGAATCACAGAAACGACCTTCAAGGTGGGAGAGCTGACGTACAAGTTGTTCGACGTCGGCGGACAGCGAAGCGAACGCAAGAAGTGGATCCACTGCTTCGAAAATGTCACAGCGCTCGTCTTCCTGGTCAGTTTGAGCGAGTATGACCAAATGCTTTACGAAGATGAAAGTGTGGTACGTACATTTTTCCCTTTGTTCCCTTGCGTCCCTTGGATGTTGATTTGTGGCTTTAGAACCGAATGCAGGAAGCACTGACGCTCTTTGATTCGATATGTAACTCTCGGTGGTTCGTCAAGACGTCGATTGTGAGCCGTTTGTTTTTCTACGAAATGTCATGATACTTTTACCCTTCTCCCTTTCTAGATTTTGTTCCTAAACAAGATCGATCTGTTTGCCGAGAAACTCCCAAACTCACCCCTGGGCGATTATTTCCCAGACTATGCCGGCGGTGATAACTATGACGCTGCATGCGACTACCTGCTGCACCGTTTCGTGGCACTCAACCAAAACGCCGCCACAAAGCAGATTTACGCGCATTACACTTGTGCAACGGACACCCAGCAGATCAAATGTAAGAGTAGTCATTGATTGTATGCTGTGCATGGCTGATCATTACGAATTAGTCGTTCTGAGTGCTATTCAGGACATTCTGCTACAGATCCATCTCCGGGAATGTGGACTACTGTGAAGAAGGCCGAGCTTTGCATTCCCGTTCCGCACGTGGCCTTTTCTGCATCTCATATCTCATCGTTCGTCATGTAGTCATATTCATGGTCTCCATCGCACCAGACTCTCTTACTACCACTCACCACCTTGACTATGTCGTCCTCTCTTTTTTGCTTTTCGTTTGACAGATTATTTCCCTTATCGCGTATTTCTTTTCCCATTTTTCACGAGGGTAGCTTGAAAACCTAATATACCCTTTTCTTACGATCCGCTATAATGACGATTGGTTGCCCTCTGTAACGTCGTCGTCATCTCTTGCTTGAATACACCTAGGCTCATTCGACTGCTGTTGTCTTGGATGGGAACTCTAAGTCATCCAGTGACGTTGTATGCACCCCACCCAAAAATGGAATAGACGAGATGACAGCGATGTTCCGAGCGGGCGGAAGCGAATACCGAGCGCTGAGAAGCGTGATGCGTCCCTTCGGATCCATCATACAGCGGCCACGTCGCACTTGCTTATTCGCGAATACGCTAGCGATCGACTACTGATCCAGCTGGATATGAGGTGATTTCGATGTCAACAGACGAGTCTTGCATCGTGACGAGGATGACAGACTGCATATGGTGCAACCGGACGTACGAAACAGGGGCAAGAGGGACACGGCCTGACACAGCCCCCTCCGAGGTCGTCGGACCAAGCACCCCGGATCCCGTATTCCGCAGCAAGCCCACGTATACCAGCGGTTCGCGCGTGAAGAGGGCGTCCACGTACAAGGAAAACAATCATAGCCATATTAGATAGCGAAACAAGACAATACACGTATTGGAACAAACGTTTGCACAAGCTGAGCGCACGTTCGTCGTCAGCAACACTAGGGTTAGACATACCGCCTACGACGTCGCATCCGACTCGGACGTCCGTGCCGTGACGACCGCCTCTGGCATATCCGTGACACGCCCCACGATGTTATATCGTTTCCTGCCGCGCGCTGTCAACCAACCGGACCCGGGCAACGACCGCACACCTACTTGAAAAACGAATGCCAGTCCTCGAGCACCTTGAGCTCGTTCTCGGGCAGGGTGCTGTAGTCCGGCACCGCGTCCTCGGGTTTCAAACTCGACATGCCAAACCCCTTTGACCCGTCCTTGCCCGCAAAGATGCTGTACGACCCGCCTTTGCCGTACACGTCTTTCTTGCGCGTGACGTCAAAGACGTCGCCTGTAGGACGTCGTCAGCAACATCGGATCTATAAGCGCACACGTCATACCTTTGATCGAGACGTAGATTGGTTTGCTCTCGTCAGACCCATCGTACGCGGCCAACTCGCGCAGCGTGAACGGGTCGTCCTTGGGTGGGTCGAGGTCGTCTCTCGGCGGTTGCATGATCGTCTTGAGCGACGTTGAGTCGTCTGTGTAGGCGACGTGCGTGGGAGGCTCTGTCGATGGAGTGGGTGGGAGAGGATTGTGTGGCGAGACGTCTTCGACGTACTAAAAGGAGGAGCGGGAGCCCGAAGGCGAAGGCATAGATGAAATAGGATAACATGGGTTGTCGTGGGAATAAGACCGCTCTAGCTGCCTCGTCCTCGAGTCACCAGCTTGGGCGTCTCTTTTTTATATAATGAATCTCCATCGAACACGGAACGTACATATACCTCGCCGTCCGATCCACACCCGCCGCCACCGCCGCCACATCCTCTACAATCACATTCCTTTGCGCGCGTTATCTCCTCGGTGTCAGTTCCGTCAAGGAGGCTTTTAAGCTCGGGACCTCGCCGTCTTTGTTATACTTTGCCGCTAGTCACGCAACTTGGTCCGTGAAGCGTGTAGGTCGGGAGAAACACACGATCCGATCTTCGATCTTGCGGACCTGATCGTCGACACCGTAGTCATAAATCTCGCCCCTATCAATTAATCGTCCATCACCTCGTGTACGGCAACGCGACTCTTCTCCCCACTCAGATCCATCTCACGTCCGTGTCACCTCAAGGATATCCGCACACTTAAAATACATTCTTCAAATAAAAGAACACTAGAGCATGAGACGGGAAAAAATCATATAAAAATGAACGAATGCGAAGTCGAAATTATATCAACATCGGGACACAGAGCAATAAGCATGCGTAGAAAATCTCAACTTATCAACCATACAGTACCATTCAAACGCTACAGGGAACGCAGTGACAGTGACGAACATAGCGGGTGTTGTAGACTTGCAGACACAAACGAGCGAGGGTATAGGGTATGCAAAACCAGAGACAAATCGCAATGAGTGACGTACAGTTCATGCACCTCTTATATGCAAAGGAAGAGAGCAGTTGGGCGGAAGGGGGGGATTAATATTCGTACAGTGACAGGCGTCCGTAACCCGCTTTCGTAACTCTTCGCACTTGCTTTGCAGCACTGTAATACGATCAGGCTTCCTCTCGGTTCCGACCTTCGATTGAAAAGAAGCCACTTACTTGGACACGGCCATAACGTGTTCAACACATCCAGAGGAACAATTATATCCTTGGCGACTTCCAACGCGTCGATCAACGTATTGTCATTCTCCCACAGCGAAAGGCAGCTATTCCAGACTCAGTCATGCCAAACACCACTTCCTCGGGACACTCACATGGATACTTGGCTTGCAAACCACGTCACTTGGAAAGGTCTCCTAAACAGATCTCCATTGGCTTCTCCAAGCCGCTCAACCGACATCCGAACTCGTCGGATGAAATTATTCTGGTGATATACTGCACGATGTTAGTTTGCAAATAAAATTCGAATAGGTGCAAGCTTACGCCAATGTTCCGAATGCTTACGACTGAACGAGGGCAAGTTACTAGCTTCCCGACCATGCACACTGCAGCGAAAGGAATCAGACCAACCAAACTAGCGTTAATCAAAATCGCTTACGTTTGCAGGATGGAGGTGAGCATCATTTGCGTACTGTTTGGGTTAATTTCAATATTAGTAGCCTGTTAGGGCAACCCTGGCAAGGAACAAGAAAAAAATCTTTCGAATCGACACGCACTTGTATACGTACTCCCGACACATGTACAGGAGCGCCATATCAAGGTTGCACGTGTGGGAATCCAAGGCGTTCTGTATCTCCTGAGCTTCCTGCCAAGCTTCCAGAGCCAGTTCAG